TGAGGCATGAATGAGAAGCCGACCCCATGACGATATATTTCCACTTCCTACAAGGCTGAGGCAGGAGGCTCGTGTTTGTGTGCCCCATGACAGCCTGTGGCATTTAAGTAAATGTCTCTGCTAGGCATGTCACCATTATCACCCCTCTCTGCACACCTTTATGCCAGAGGCTAAATTAAAAGCCCCTCTGGGCCGGGGGCAGCTGCTGCCCCAGAAACAAATGGGCATGTAGGAGGAAAAACACCAAAAGAAGCAGCTTGGTGCTTCACTCACTCGCTCAGACCTTTTCTGTTTGGAGGCAGACCTGATTAAATCAAAAGACTGGAAGCTTTTCTGCAACAATTGCTCACTTTGTCAGATCAGACTGGAAGTTTGGCCAAAGCCTGTTGGCGTTAGCGACTGGAGCGGAGGCTGCAGCGTCGCTCCTGCAGCTTTATGCAGATATCTTGGGAAAAGAGGATTAATCATTACAGTGCTGCAGCACCAACATCTATTTAAAAAATAACAGAAAAGCTTATAAAATAACTTTCTGAAACTAGTTTAATACACAATGATTTACAGAAATTTCACAAAATGATAGATATTTTGTTTTCTTCAAATTTTGAACTTGACATAAATTCTTTTGGCATTTTGTCGAATTAGATTTTATCAGTTTAGGTTTTTTAAGCAGTTAGCCCGTACTTAAGCTAGTCTGGAAGCTAAGTCTTTAATTATTAAATTTTCAAATGTGATTACTTTAGTAACTTTTACACCAGGGGTTTCCAACGTGTGGCCCAAGGGCCATTTGTGGCCCCTGCAATTTATAAATGATATAAATGTTCCCTGTAGATCCAGATTGAGTTTTTTTGAACTTGTAGCATCAGATTAAGTTAGCTCTCTTTCACGTCCACATTATAAGAACTTATCAGTTATTATTTTGTCTGTTTTTGCAAGAAATACATATTTTTTTCAAAGAATCAAGTCAGAAGTGCGTTCAGAAACAAACCACCTGTCGCCATCCATGGATCATTTTATTAGATCATTTTTGTTTTTGTAACTTAAAAAGACATCAAGTTTAAGAATCAGACACTTTCAATGCATTACATTTAAATATTTAAGAAACAAAGAGCAAACTTGTGGTTTTTTGGTAACAGTAATGGGTCGAAATCTACATCAGAGAAGAAAAAGGCAAAACAAACAAAATTCAGTTGAATAAAAACTAAATCTGACAGAGGAGAAATGATGAGATCATGAAAGCGAGGAGCCAGCTACACTTTGTTCTTCTGTTTTGTTGTCAGCATTCAGCAGCTCGGCCTTTTCTCTCTTTGCTGTTGCACTGCAAACCCGATAATATTTAACAATTCACAAAGGGAATCTTATCCAAAAAGTTCACAAGCGGCAACATGAAAAGCCGTCGGAGGACACCTGTGAGCCGTGAGGTTTTAAAGCTAACAGTTAGCGTCAGGTGTTTAAACAGAGGAGCTGCAGGGCGAACATCCTCCAAGACGGGGTGAGCAGAGAGTTTCTTCCTGAGGCAGAGAGAGTTTATCAAGTGTGTCTGCGGGCTCAGCAGAGCCCTGCAGCCCGTCCCATCGCAGCACCACATGGCAAGTGTTGCATCACTGCAATAATGGGCTGCGCCTCATTGAGCAGGCTTATTGGATCTTCCACAGAAGTGAGGTAAGTGGTGTGCTAAATTAAATGCAATTCATACTTTTTTGGGCTGGGTCCCGCGCTGCTATTACATTAAGTGTGAGAGAATTACATAGGCAGAGACAATATTGCAGCTGTTGGAGCATTACAAGACGCTGGTGGCTTTAGTGAGATCACATTTCAATCAAGCCGGCAGTCTCAGGTGACTCACCGTAAATGAGAACAAATGAGGAAATTAAAATGACATCCATTGATTTCTGGACCGCGGCACCCGGCGCCATTACTAATTTTATTTTTCAGCCGCGTCGGAGAAGAAAGGGAAGAGAAAAGTCGCACTAATAGAAGCTTAAGAGGCAAGCGAGCCAGAAAGTGAGTTTACCCGGGTGAGTCTGCAGGAGACGACGGCTCTATTGTGAACTAATGGAGAAACCTGGAGGAGTTTGTGTCATTTCACAGCCACTAAACCAACTGCAGATCATCCAGACCTCTGGATAGATCTACTTCCAGGTCAAAGTACTCAGGCTTATGTTTTGTCTTTTCAAGCATTTGGAGCTAAAGTTTTAATTTACTGTTTTATGACATCATTTATTACCTTTATTAAGTATGTATTGTGATGAAAAATGTATATTTTAGGCAGAGTCAAAGGATTCAGATTTATGTTTTGAAATCACATCCAACGCACCTGAAAGGTCTGAGAAGAAAACACCAATTTAACAAAAAATATCATTTTAATTATTTTTAACATCTAAAATATAAGCCAACTTTTTAAATTACACAGATGAATTAGATATTTAAAAAAATACTTTTTTAAATATCTCTAAAATATTTTTAAAATATTTATATTTTTAATATTTAGACATTTTAAAATATATCTTTAAAATATTTTTTAAAATAATTTTCAATATTAAAAAATATTTTTAAAATATTTGGAAATATCTTTAAAATATTAAAAAATATTTCAATGTTTTTAAATGTATTTTTAAATATTTCAAAATGTTAAATATTCAAAAAGTATTTTTGCGATATTATTTTAAAAATATTTACAAAAACATTTTAATATATTTTTGAACATTTTTAAAAATATTTTAAAGAAATAATTTTAAAAAATGTTAAAAATGTTCTAGCATTTTGTAACTTAAAATAATTTTGTTATTCTAACTAAGAAAAACCAAGAAGAGTCTGATTTAACTTCAGTCAGTAAGAAAAGTGTCTGTGTTTCAACTGTAAATAACGTTTTCCAAATTCAGGCTTTTAATCCAACGTTACAAAACTGTGCAGTTTGAATATCAAGCACTTTCCAAACCTTGAAAACACCTGATTAAAACTCAAGGACGTGGAGCATCCACAGGAACCCTGAAACCAAGCCGACAGTTTCATCGTGCAGTGAGAACCATCGCTGCTTTTCCTCTGCCCTTGTTTCATTATTGCACCTTTAACCTCGGCCACCTGAACAAAAGCAACGATTCATGTTGAGTTTAGAAAAACAGGAGAACCAAAACAACTTGCGTATGCAGAGGGAGCCTGGTCCCTAATGCGCGTCAATCTGCTGGCACTGTGCGAAGAGGAGCACGTATGTGCCTGGAATCCAGATGGATGTTTTTGTTGGTTTATCCGAATCGAGGAGACAAAGACCAGCTGTGCAGCTTTTTTTTTTTTTTTTTTTTTTTAACTACATATTCCAACACTGCTGTGACAGACTTATTTTGTTGATTCTTCATCCTGATTTTCAGATCAGGATCATTTTTTATGATTGTGTTGAGATTTGTGCCAGTGATCTTGTCAAACACAAACACCTGGTGGTGCTCTAAAGTTGGAATCATCATCGATGTTTTAGTTAACAAGCAAAACATTTGTTCAACACATAAAAAAATTGGACAGTCACTCTGGTTTTCACTGATTGGCTCTATTTAGTCGATTCATCCTTTAACCAACTGGTGCAAAGTGAATCTGGCGTCTAAATTTAGTCACAGATATTAAATATACTAGTCAAAGTTGATGGAGAATCAGGATTAGCCATTTTGCCAACTGTGCTTCTGATTGGCTGGCCAACCCTCCTGACGTCTCCTCTACCAACTCTGGATGTTATGATACAGTCATGTCCAAGAAACCAGTTTATGAGGCTCAAAGTGGGTCTAAAGAACCATCAGTACCTTGAACTATTGACAGAACTCTGGTGCATTGAATTGATTGGCTAAAGTCGGCATTTGTGATTTTAAATAATCAACCTGTTGTATCTGTGGGAGATGAGTGTAATTCAAGCATGTTTTCACACCTGGTAGTTCAGAAGACTCAGTTTGATTGGGGACTAAAACTGCAACATTTGTTATTTTCACACTGTTCTTGTTCCCCTCCTCACCTGTGGGGGCGCTGCACCAAGAACCACTGAAGGAAGTGATACAAAGACCTCCAAAGAAGACATGAAATGTAAATGAAAATGGAGTGGTGTCAGATTTTGGTGGTTATTTGTCTTTGGCAAAAAGCCTGGAATCATTTCTCCCACTAATGCTAGGCGCTCACGTTTGTTGTGGCTTTATTTATTTTGTACCCAGAATGCACGGCATTGTAGCCCACTTCCTGCTTCCTGCATCTTTCCAATCAAATCGGACTTTCTAGACAAACTAGCGCCGATTAAAATAACTTAGCATAGCAATCATAGCTCAATCATGCTACAAAGTCATCCTGAAAAGGGAGGAATAACTCACTTTCCTTCTTTTTCCCCCCAGCTCCAAAGGGATTTAGCTCATATGTTGCAAAAATCTAATGTTTCCAATCTCTGGATTTTTTTTTTTTTAAATGCAAAATCAATCTACCCAAGTAAGGGTAGCAATAGTAATATTACTCAAGTAAAAGAAAAAAGTACAGAGCAGTAAAACTACTCTTAAAAGTACCTTTTACCCAAAAAGTTACTCATTTGAACATAAATAACAAAAATAGTAGCCTATTCTTCTTAATAAGCTCAACATAGCTTAATCATGCTACGTTAGCTAGCATGTTTAGCTAACATAGCTAGTCAGCAGCATTACTGAATTCACTCGGTAAGTTTGCGGGGTAAAAGCTGTGCAAAGTTTGTTGCCATGATTATAACAGACATCAGCACATCTTAGGGCTCATGTTGCGTTTAAAGACGGCTCGGAAAAAACACGTTACAGCATGCTAACAATGGAGTAAACAGTTGTAACGGCTAAAAAAAGACAAAAATGCATGGTACAGAGGGAACAGATACAGAAATGGTCAGATTTTAGTGGTTATTTGTTACTTTCACACTCTTTAGGTGGGGAACCAGCCCCCCCAGAATGTTAGTTATCTAAAAAGCTAAAAATGTAAGAACTACATGGCATAAAAGCAGCAGTTTAAACGATCAGACTCACCGTTGACGACCACGGCTATGTCCACAAAGTCGATCTCCCCTCTGGCCTCCACGCTGGCCTCGCAGCGGTAGACGCCCTCGTCCGCCTTGGTCACCTGGCGGATCTGCAGGTTGTTGTTCGGCAGCACCTGGAACCTGCCTTCACGGGTCGACAGGAGAGGAGAAAACAAAACAACGGCAGCGTAAGAGGAGCAGGAGGAAAATGCCATCTCCAGTCCAACGCAGTCAGCCTGTCAGTCTGAGCCGCAGCTCATTTACCTGATAACGTCCAGACAGATAAACTCTAGCAATTACAGCTCGGCTCTGTTGGGCCTCTATCTGCTCTGCCCAGCAAAGATATTTATATCCCCGCATCACAATTAGAGAGAAATGATTAAAGAAGAAGAAGAAGAAAAAACAAACGCGCTTTCATCACTGTAGTGTCACAGAAGATTTGAATTTCAATTAAAAATGTGACAGATTCAAGGATTCAAAGGGTCACTCTTTCCAATCAGAGCCTTTTTTTTCTTGAGGAGAGAGTTGTAAATCAAGGAGGAGGGGAGATGAAATAATGAGCGCCGTTCGCACTGCATTACTGATTTTACAGGAACGGAAATGACTAAAAATGAATTCCTCCTTTGAGTGCTCCTCTCCCTCCATCTTCCTTTTTCTTTGCAAATTAAGTAGACCATTCTCCTGATATTTAACACTGTTAAAACTAAAAAGGGTGGGATTACCAGGGAGAGCTCTATAAATGGTATAAATCATCTTTTGCTTAAAGGGAACAGAGGAGGGCTGACAATGAGACTGTGAAATCTTCCATGGAGAATTGGCAGTACAGGATAAAAACACGCATTTCTCCACTGTTTTTATGTATTTTTTCCATGTTTTTCTGGTGTGTTTTTAATCTCACGGGGAAGCGGCGCCTTTGAATGTCACCCATCCAGCAGCTCCATAATCCATCCTCTCACAGAGGCTTGTTAACACGGGCTCTGTCCAAATTAGATGCCTCCTCCATTGGGTTTCTATCCGTAGATTTTTATACCCTTGTCTCATTGTGAATCCAACACAAAGGAAGGGAAAAGCATTTCCTAGAGAACTGAGTTTTTGGCACGTTTTCAATGAGATGAAACAAGATCGGCGCTCCTGAGCATTTCTTCACTTGATATTCAAACATTTAGGTTCAGTTCCTCTGATAATGGCTCTTCTTACAACTTTTATGGTCCAAATTATTAGAATAACCAGCGCCGCCTGGTAACCCAGTCTGTAATGTTATTTCCATGGTTATCACAGCTCCAAATCTAAATTGTGAGGTGCTGAAAATGACAGCTATTTCCCTGCAGATCGGACAAGCTGTAAGCTGCAAATTTCTTGGCAAGTTACAGCTGATCCGCTGGCTGAACACAAACCAAGAAGGAAAATATTTGCCAAATGAAAATAACCCGGCCGCAGCATTAGATACGATTGTTGTGGCTTTAGCTGGTACGTTTTGCTCCAGTTTTTAATGCACTCAGCGATTCAACTTTTGTCGCATTCTCCATTTCTGCAAGGCGGCAAAATTGCTGTTAAGTGCAAAAGACATTAATAATCACATTTTGGAGCCAGAAAACATAAAATCTTGTAAGAATTGAACATAAATAAAACACAGTTTCTAATTATGAGTTTCACTTTCTGAAAATATCGCAACATTTTGTTTATTTGAGAGATAAAAACCTTTTTTTAGTGGAAATGTGCTGCAGGGATGTTTGAACAAATATTACAGACAGAGAAAAATGATATGGCAAGCACTTTTGCTATAAAATGATCAATAAAAATGTAAGAGGGAGTTAAATAAATACATAAAATATAGGATAGAGAGAATACATTCCTGCTTGGCTAACAAAACAAGGAGACAAAAACTAGAAGTGAATGGATCAGAAAACAAAACAGTATCTCTTATGGCTTTAGCCAATACTGGAGCAGGGAGTCGACAGCCAGACCACCAAGATGTTGTTTGTGAGCACAAAGTTAATCTGGTAAGAACAAGCTTCATTTCACCAATAATTTGCTAATTTCTAACAAATTACGGCTGCCAAATATGTTTCCACTGTTTCCTGTAAGCAGATACAAACTTAGAGCAGCATTTTAAATTAAGCTTGCTCACAAATTATGGGAAAACCTTACATTCCCTTCTAGTAAAAAGAGCAAAACGAAACAAAAAGGTCAATCAAAGTGAGTCAGAAAGTGGCGATAACTCACTGCGGTGCTCCTCTGTGATCTCTTTGTCCTGGTAGTACCAAACCACCACCGGTACCGGCGAGCTGATGACATCACACACCACCTCCGCCGTCTCGCCGTGCCTGAACTCCTGCGGCGACTTTACATCCCGGAACGTCAGTTTCTCTGTGGAGCCAAACAAAAACACACATTTAACAAATGCTACGGATCTGAAGTTGTTATAAAGTAAAAAACATGTCTGGATAAATTGATATTTAATCACCAGATTTTATGTGGAGAAAAATTGAAGAAAAGCCCTTTCAAAAAGTCTTTGAAATGTAAAAAAAAAAAAAAGAAAGAAAAAAAAGCACTGTAATTCAATCTGCAACATGACAAGGTCCAAAACAAACCAGACAATTAAAGAATCCCACGTAATGGGCCTAGTCAAAGCCCAGATCTCATTAAGATTCTTTCAAACACTGAAAAACACTGAAAATGCCAAAAAACATTAAAAATATTCCCACATTTATATAGATGTCTTTTATGAAACAAGATTATTTTTTGGTGTTTATCTACAAAAATCACTTTCTTTAACAGATTAAAAATCAGGATGAGCATTTCTTAATAGAAAAACTGAATACTTAATGGAATCTTGTTGTTTTTATTCTTCCAACCTCTGTTAATCATCTGTCTACTGAAAAAAGTGACACAAACACAAGTGGAGGCCTAGTCAAAGTCCAGACTTGAGATCAAACTGATGTTAGAGAGAAGGCTGCAAGGCTTCGTTAAGAGAAGCAAATGGCTTCTCTTAACGAAGAGAAGCCATTTGCTGCAGCTAGAAGACGTATTTTAAGTATTTAGTTTAATTTTTTTAAGTGAAATCTTTTTCTTTTCACGATATAAAACTACTAAAAAAGTGAAAAGTTCTTAGTAATCACCTAAACGTGATTTAGGGTGTCCTAATTTTTTCACAGAGCTGCATGTACTGAACAAATACAGCAGGGATGAAAGAAAAGCCCCTGATGAAATGAAACCCAGACATTCTGGTTCTGCGGAGCCTCTTCAGCGATTGAAGAGCTTCCCGCTAAGCAGCAGCAGATCCGTCTCCAGGCCTCATCAGCGCCTCTGATGCGGGCCAAAGATGGCTCTGCCGGCGCCGCAGCCGCATGCCATCACCTGCGTGGCGCATCATGAAGGCGTGAATAAATCAGTGGCGGCTCTCCTATCAGTCTTCTCCGTTAGCGAGGCTCCGGCATTAGCATTTCAGCTGGGTGATTTATACCAGGCGGCTCCCTAAAATGAGCTTTCGCTCCCCGACTGCACCCTCCGCCCGGCGACGTGTCTGGAATCTCACCGTCTTCATTAACTTCAAGGATGCCTGTGCATGTTTCTGTCATTCACTCCGCTCTCATCATTCCCTCAGCCGCTCTTTGCTCATTTCCAAAAAAAAAAAAGAAAAAAAAAGAGGCTCCTCATTTCTTCTTCTGTAAAGTTTGAATACTTCTGCTGTCAGTTATTTACTCTGTTTGTATCCATTTCCTGCTTCCTTTTGTAGTCACGTTGCTCGACAAGAGAATCTGAAAGGGAAAATCGTCTCTGGAGAAACGCGCTGCTGCAGACTTGACATCAGCAAAATGAGGAAACGCTCAGCAGAGTTTCTGCTCTCCTGTTCGCAGAAACACTGAAGTTAAACACCTTATATCAGCCAGTTTCCCTCCAAACACATCTGGACTCTGATGATGCGTTTGGAAAATATGCCTACCAAGCACTTTAGTCAAATACGAAAGAAAAAGTGAAAAAACTTGGCGATGAAAGAAGTCAAAAAAATAACTTGTCTGATTTAAAACTGGAGCTACACTGAAGCGCAGCTGGTTGGAAATAAAATCTTTGTAGAGATTCTGGTCAAATCTCTACAAAACCTGATGCACCGATTTGATGATCTGGGCCAATATCAAAGTCTAATATCATCACTGCTGTTACGGCTGATATTTACCAATATTATATTTATTTTCCTTCACTTTCGACACCATGACATAACAACCATGTTGCTTCTTTTGCTTCTTCACAGGATCACATCACCAATCCCCTAAAACACAAACAGTAACACGCCTGGTTTTACTTATCAAATCAAAACTGACATGTCAATATTCCAGTTGCCAAATTATATCGTAAATAACGTTTTCCAAATTTAGACTTTTCACATTTTAGATTGCATTCATTACAAAACTGTGCAGTTAGAATATCAAGCACTTTCAAGAACTTCACACCTAAATCGGGGGCTTTTTATCATGTGGGCCAAAATTGTAGATTCAAAAAAAAATTGCAGGGCAAGATAACCTAAAAGAAAAACTAGCTCATATGTTTTGTAGATCCAAAACATGAAAGGGAATCTAAAAAACAGTGTAAAAAAGGAGTGAATTTCTGCCAAAAACGAGAACATTTTTTGATTAAACAAGCATTTTCAAGGATCTAAAAGCTCCAGTATGAACCTTATATGTGTCAGGAAAATTTCCCTGGACTGGCCTCTCTGTAACGACGACATGCTGGAACTCACTGCATTTCACAAACATGGAAGTTGATGAAATCAATAATTTGGAGGGTGGACCTGGAGTGTGTGTGTGTGTGTGCGTGCGTGTGTGTGTGTGTGTGTGGAAAGGTGCGTGTGTGTGTACTTTAACCCTGAGGTCAGATTGTTCTGTCCAACACGCTGCAGACCAGCAGGTCCACCCAGGAGCGCAGGCGGGACGGCGGGCTCCGGCTTCAGCAGGGCTCTTCATTCGCATTCTGCTCATGAAGCCCACGCCACGGGGCTGCGCACGAGCGGTGCTCGGTTGCCAAGGAAACAGCGGGGCTGGTTATGCGGAGAATGAGGCTATGACTGAGCGGCGGCAGGTGGGATTGAGGCTGTGATGTCTCAGCTAATGCTTCTCTGGGAGAGGAAGGGAAGACAGCAGCGCAGCAGGTGATGATTTCCAGAGCGCATGCGAACGTGTCGGTTTCCCTGGAGTTAATCCTCGTACTTTTGACGTTTCCTCTAATTAAACTTGGTGTTGTCTCCTGAACATGCACAAGGGTATTTAGTCAGTCCCATCACAGGACTCACTGGGTAATTTCTCAGTGAGGAAATCTTGTGCTTTATTGTTAATTCATCACATGTTTCTGGCTTTGAACAGGAATGAGTGTGTTCTTTTTTTACTCCTTTTTCCAGTTAAGGTCGGGTCATTTCAAGGATGTAAGCGCTCAAATGTTATATATTCAGCTGTGCAGAGTGTGAAATGTAGCAATTTATGGGCTTATGTTAAAGAATCTTAAATCCTTTTATGATTTATGCCTTCAAGTGGCTTCAGAAATGGACTCTACGGAAGGCCAGAGGTGACAAAATGAATGTAATTTCAAAGTTAAAAATATGTCGATTATTTATTTGCAAAAAAAAAAAAAACACATCTGATATGATATAGTTTATTAAATCAATGGCTCAATGCAATCTGCTGGGTTTCCTTTAGATAATTAATTGAGAATTGAAATTATTTTTTTGAAAAGTACCAAGAGATGACATTTGTTGTAAATTTATACACAAAACTGATTTGAATTATAGGGAAATAGATTCATATCTGATTGGTTGACTGCAGCATCAATAGCCCCGTCCACTGACTTTGATGACACAAATTAATTAAAAGTGACCTATTATGTTTCCTTGAATAGGTTAGGAAAGATTTATGGGTGATACAAAACATGCTAATTACATTTTTGGCACAAAATCGTTCTTAGGTAATGAATTAGTTTATTTCAGAATGAGATGTTTTAGGGCCTCTGTCACTTTAAATCCAAATAGGCTGCTGCTGGCCACGCCCCCCAACTCAACATTTACACTTGCACATGAAAATGGCTGAAAAACAGACTCAATCACACAACTGAACATCTTAGAAAGAGCCTCCTGCACAACCAAGACAACAAAACACTTGTCTTTTCCAGCAGCCATTGTACAGCGCATACAGTGGTAAAAGCAGTTGACCAAACATTTTGGAGCTCAGCTTGGGGTTGCTAGGTAATGGGCAGTACCTGCTGATTTGTGACGTTACATTCTGAGGCTTTTGAAACTTCTCATTTTCCAGACACCAAAAAACTTTAACATATTGTGTTTGTTTAAGGGCTAAGGCTGTTTTCAGAAGTGGAAGTATGAAAAGTTTGGTTCCCTTTAAGGGTTTGGCTTCATTATGCGCTCAATGAGCAAAGGGCAGGAAACTGACTGCTTGCATGTAGGAGAGTCTCCGTAGCGATGGAGTGACCCCCTGCCTCATAACATCAATGGGCCACAAAGGCAGGTTAGACAAAGTGCCAGGTCTCTCATTAAGCCTGGCAGGATCCGAGTCCCGTAGGCATCGCTGATGATTATCCTTTAATCATCAACACAGATTCACAGGAGCCACAGGCACACGTGGACCTCAAGTTCAGGGGCATCCTTAACAGCTTGTGGTGCAGATGAGAATATGAATCAGCTGTGATCAAAACCTAATTTCAAAGCTTTATTCTATTCGTGTCTGACTCTCCCCAGGAGGCCAGCGTGGAGCATCTGCAGGTTGCTGTGAAGTGCGGTTGCATGGTAACAGGCGAAACTTACGGTAGATTTCGAGCACCACCGACGCCTCCTCCGTGTGGCCGCTGGCATCGGTGGCCTGGCAGCGGTAGATCCCCGCGTCCTCGATGATGGCGTTGTAGATGATGAGTCGGGATCGGGACGCCTCCGTCTGCAAGTTCATCCGTTTGCTGCTTACGATGCGCTCACCCAGAGGGTTGAACCATTCCAGCCTGACAGGCTCACCGATAGCTGGAAGCAGACAGAGAAACAGGAAAACGCAAATGAAACCAACTTCAGATGGAGGTTCTGATCCAGTTCTTAGAAACAAAAATCACTTTGGGGTGATGGATGGTAGAAATAGGGACATAACTAAAAAAGAGCCAAAGAACTTCTGGTGTTGGACCAATGACTCCAACATGGTTGAATACTGTTGGTTTAGATGTTTTTATTATACTGTATAGCTGTGAGTTATAGTCTAACACTTTGGTGTCATCCCACCAAAAGACATTGTTCTAGAAATCTTATAGTTCATATTTCTAAGGTTGTTTTCACACCTGATAGTCCAGTAGACTCGGTTCGATTGGAGATCAAAATTGCAACATTTGCTACATTTTCAGCTGCTGCAGTTTTATCGTCACACTAGACTGCCCAAAGTGATCCAAATCCTTTGGAAAACCAAAAACTCCTGAAGGAAACGACACAAGAACTATGCACAAAAATTGTAAACAAAAATGGATTTTAGCAGTTGTAGGATTCCTATTTTGTCTTTGGTAAAAAAAACCTCGAGACATTTCTCAAGCTTGCGCTAGACTCTCGTGTCTGTTTTGGCTGAATTTAACCAGAATTAACTTCCTGCTTTTGCAGCGGTTTCCAGTTTGCTTGGTGTTCATATCTGCATTCAAATTGTACCAGAGTTCAATTCAACCAAACCAACACCTTAACTTCTCTTTCTTGGTCTGCATCAGCGTTCGACTCCACAATGAAGAGGGAATCTAAGGCAAACTAACCAAAGTTCAATTAAAGCGGACTAAACATGGCGGGTGTGAATGCTTTTCATTGTCAGCTCTTTCAAACAACCAATATTTGTTCAGCCTCTTTGTGTCTAACATGCCAACTAAGGTTTGCAGAGTCTCAGAAGGTTCTCTTTTTGTTCGTTTCTCCTGACTTTGCTACATCAACTCTTGGAAACATTGTTGCATGATTGGAAATTTATGTGATGTGAATCAACGATTGCTTTCCAAAGGTACGCTACCAGTACGCTTCTTGACATTTGATTGGATACGACTCAGCTGCTGCTTCCCCTTTTAAAAGCGGATGCATCAAGGATTTAGTTGACAGTGTCTTCTTGGTACATCAAACCATGGAACCAAAAGAGGAAACACTTCCGACGTAAATCCGTTCAGATCAAAACCGAACTTGAACCGGGGCGTCCTCATGTGCCCCGTGAAGCGAGACCTCGTGCAGCTACTTAAGGAGATGACAGAGCCATCTGCAAGCAGCAGGTGCCCCTCGTCTGGAAGGCGTGTTAATAAAACAGCGACTGTGTCAGCCCATTATCTGGCTTATCCATCAGCCCAGAACAAGACCAGAGACAGATCCTCATTTTTTCAGTGAACTAAATAGGAGAAGACGGCGGATTTCTGCAAAAACCCTAAGCCGACAAATTAAATACAAGATGCCCTTGAGCAAAACTGAGGCGTGACCTATATGGTCTATAGTGGTGATTGTAGCCTGGAGGTAACGCCTGATGGACGGAGGGGAGGTTGAGCAAACAAATAAGCTAGCTCTCCTCCTCTGCCACTTTTTAGCTTCAAAGCACACCGATCGTACACCATCCCTGCACCCAGCAGATTCCTCTGCCTCATGTGGGCACTTGAAAGGAACAGATAAGTGCTCAGTATCACTGCAGCTGCCTTTTTCCACCTGCTAGCACCACAATGTTATCGCCTCTCCGCATTATACAGCCTTCTGACAGCACATACAGTTATGAGTTCGAGCTGATGCAACCGGCATGGTGACAGCCCCATTTGAATCAGAGATGATGGGAGAAGACAGGAGTGTACAGCGTGCCGGCCCGTTCTGCACACTCAGCCTGGCATCCCTCTGTGTGTCTTAACATCTGCGTGAATAGCACATCTTAAAATCTGCATAAGCTCCGGCGCCACGGCGACATCTTGGCAGGAAAAGTAAGCGCTGACTGAGAGGTGCGATGGCAGGACAATGATGACCACTTCTCCAGAGGCTAGCAAAACGCAGACACGGAGGTATTCTGATTTATCAACGCTGGCAGCAGCGAAACCCTCGTTTGGAGATTAGAAAAAAAAAAAAAGAAATATGTAAAGGTTTCTAGAACTGAAGCATGGAGCGGATCGCCTTGCTTGCTGCAAGGGGAAGATTACAGTCTATAAATGTCTACTGGAGCCAATATTTACCAGGAGCATCCTGGTAAAACTCAAAGAAGAAGTCAGTTTGAAGCAGGGAGGGAACGTTCTTAGGCATTTATGTCCGTCCTGGAAATGTACTGTAATCCCACTAAAACAAGACACAAGCTGTTCCTTACTTTAAATATAAAAGTGAACTCAGAAGTGGAGTCGAGCATCACTTAAATCCCCTCTGGTTTGTTCAAATTTGTTTCCACAAGGGCGAGAATTGTGAAAGTGAAACTCAAAAATCATTTTATTGAGAATTTTATCTGCTCTTTAATAAAATAACGAGACAATATTTCTATTAACAGGAAGATGTCATGATAGATCCCAAGAATAAAAGGTTTTGCATGTCAGAATCAGCTTTATTAGTCAAGTTTGTGTGAAAACTAAGGAACTTCATCTCAGTTTCTTGATGCTAATGCTAACTGTTGCAGTTGTTTCTATTGTAGGCAGACAATAGAAGATATTTTGCCTAATTTAATTGTTAAAGCAAACAAAAATCAGATACAAACTGTTTCTACTCAGCTTTTCTGAGGCTAATTTAGCATGAGCTGCATATCAATTTGGATTATTTTGTACCACATTTTAGTTTCAAATCTACCAGATTTAGACTTTCTGCTAGAAAATAGTTTTTTTTAATTGAAATTTTATTTTTTTAAAATAGTATATTGACAAGGATTTATCCTAATCTCTGGTATTTTAAGGTTTTAACTTTGGTGATGAAAGTCTTTGAGGTTGGAAAGCCTCCACACCATCACCCTAATCTTTATCTTTTTCCACAGATTCTCCATCAATTTCAGAAAGTAAAACATAAAACTTAATATTTGACAGTTCACCTATATCTAGGTCCTTATGCACTTTTAACAATGTTGAAAATATGCAAATTTTCAAACTATTCCAAATAAATAATTTGCTAATCTTAGGAGAGAAAACAAAACTAAAGAACTGGATGAGTTTATTACCTTTTCACAGAAGATACTTGCAGAACTGCAGACTTTTTGTGCCACCTTGCGATTTTTCTAAAAGTTATCTATTTTTTTATTTATTTAGTGCTTTCATCTGCCACCAAGGGAGATTATGAGCTGCTGTGTTACTGGGTACTCAGACAAAACCAGTGTGTGTGTAACAGAAGGAAACAAAGGTGTTGGTGGGAGAGTTTTCATTTCAGGTACCAGTGAGATGATGAAACACCATCCAGGGGTTTTCAGTTTGCATAACATCTTTATAGCCGATCTGTTCAAACGTGGAGCTCCTGTGTAGGAACGAATCATTTCATGTGCCTCAGCTGCAGCTGCTGCTAAGAGAAGCCAGAAAAACTTGGTGTTTGCATTAGATGTTCTGCTCTGTGGAAGTTTCTGCTGGGTCCTCTGAGTCGGGCCTTCATTAAAACGACTGTGTGTTGAACATTTCCCCACCCAGGAGTGAGGATCTGAATAAAAAGCAAGAACTTTACTTTCTATGATTAGAAAAAACAGTGAAGGTTCATGGATACATGGTGGATAGACGTAATTACAATAAAAGCGTTGTTGTTGGCTACAATGTTTACACTGTTTGCTGCTGCAGATGAAGCTTAACTTGTGGTTTCAGGTGGTTTGGGTTATAGATTTATTAATCGTGTGATCGATCAGTAATAGACGAGGAATCAAACCCAAATGTCGCTGAAGCAGAAGAAGAAAGATCGACAATTAATAATGATTTTAGATAAAACTGTAGATAAAGTTACACTAATAATTAATTAGTGTATGACATTTGAATATCTTCTCTGTTTTTCCATTGGGTGAAACATAAAGGGACTGGTTTGCATTATTATCCTGTTTAGGAAATAAAAGTTCATGTTCTGATTAGAAGTTGCTCCGACTAGTCGATTCTTTAGTCTGCAAAGACTTTTTATGGAGCCAGTCGACAAAACTGAGATAGAAGATAGAAGGTGAACTAGAGTTTGTCAGGCAGTTATAATTGTATAAAAATGTAAATAATTCAAGGTTTCCCCCAGAAAACTTGCTAAGCCCGGTGTTTAGGTGTCATTCCTCCAGCAACCTGTCGTGTTTTTGAGTAAAAAATGTTTAAAATTGACAGGAAATTTTTAAATATCACTTCATAATTATGTTTTATTGGAAGATTAACATCTGAACACCAACGATAACCTCTTATAAAACGCAAACATAAAAAAATAACGTACATAAATAAGCAATGCTAAGCCTGGTGGGGCACAAATAAAGCCTGGAGGCCCGCCAGGCTTATAAAAAACTGTTCATATCAGTGCTGGTAAACAAAATCCAAAACATAAAAATACAAAGAAAAGAATATAAATAAAAACTAAAAACTTGAAAAGAAGGTTCATACGTAGGAAGGTTGCACCTCTGAAAGGTTTAGCCATTTCACGTCAACTTTAAAGTCATGCAACCCCTAGTTCTGACATGTTTTATTTTTTTTCCCCCACAAATGATTCATCAAGTTGTGAAATGTTGGACAGGAAGAACAGAAACAAAAACTGGAGTATTAAACGAGGAAAGCATGTCTGATCCACCTGCAAACCGTGTTTTTACGTCATTTTTTAATTTTAAACCTACTGTCACAAATGTAAATATCTGGACACATGCTTCTGATCACATAAGCAAAATAACAAAAAAAATGCTTATTTGGACACAAAATCAACAGTTTTTCAGAGATTTCCTTTCCTCGTTGAATAACTGGTGCATAAAAGAGACGGATCAATTTTAGGGATTTTTTTTTTTCACACTTCTCCACCAGGAGCACTAATAACTGTGAAGGCCAGTGGAATAAAACACTCAGAAAAAACACACAATTTAGACAGGCCTGTTCCTGTAATCTTTAGTAATTGCTTCAGCAGAGTAGCAAGGTTAAAATGATTAATACCTAAAAAGCAGAGCAGCTGCTAATGGGG